CCTCCCTTCTATTCTCCCTAGATTTTGGTAATTACCATTCTATTCTTAACTTCACGGTGATCACCTTTTTCAGATTCCATGTTTGAATGAGATCTTGTGGTAGTATATTTCTGTGTCTGGCCTATTTCACATAACCTAATGATCTGCAGTTCTATCCCTATTGTTGCTGAATATTTTCTATTATCTTGTGTATACTGGTTTTCTTCATCCTTGCATCAGTTGATGGACTGACACGTTGTTTCCATTTCTTAGTTATTTTGAATAGTGCTGCAATTTATATGGGTGTGCTGTGTCTCTTTGAGATACTGATTTCATTTTTTTCAAATATATATCCAGTGATGGGAAAGCAGGATTAAACAGAAGTTCTTCTTCTTCTTCTTCTTTTTTATTAGCCTTTTGCGGAAGCTCTATACTATTTTCCACAGTTGCTGTACTAATTTACATTCTTACCAAGACCATACAAGTTTGCCCCTTACTCCTCATCCTCACCATCACTTGGGGTCTTACCTTACTAGAATGAGGTGGTATCTCACTGTGGTTTTGATTGTTATCCACAGCTACCCTACCATGTGACAGCACAACAGAACTTCTTACCATTACCTGAAAGTAACTTAGTACMCATGATCAGCTTTCCTTCGTGCTACTATCCCTGCTTTTGGTAACCACCATTCTACCTTCAGTTTCTAGGTGATCACCATCTCCAGATTCCCACATTCTGAATCCCTGAGGATTAGTTGATATTGAATATTTTTCATACACTTGCTGGTCATTTGTATGTTTTCTCTTGAGAAATGTTTGTTTAGGTCTATTGTCCATTTTTAAACCAAGTTATTCTTTTTTTATGTCATTCAGTTTTTTAAGTTCTTTATATAATTTGGGTATGTTCCTTATCAGATATTTAGTTTGCAGATACTTCCTTCCATTTTGTAGATCTCCTCTGATAATTACTTCATTTGTTGTACATAAACTTTTAAAATTTTATGTAGTTCCATTTGTCTATGTTTGCTTTTGTTCTCTGTGCTTTTGGAGTCCAATCCATTTCAAAGACCTAAAGTATTTCTCCTGGATTTCTTCTAGTGGTTTCATTGTTTCAAGTCTTACATTAAAATCTTCAATCCTTTTTGAGTTTATTTTTGTGACTAGTGAGAGATAGGGTCTAGTTTAATTCTTCTGCATGGATATCCATTTCCCTAGTCCCATTCATTGAAAAGACTTTCATTAACCCATTGGGTGTTCTTAGCACCTTTGTTGGAAATCAGATGTCTGTACATGTGTGGGTTTACTACTATGCTCTCTATTCCTTCATTGGGCTATATGTCTGTTTTTATCCCAATACCATGTTGTTGTGAAGACTACAGTTTGTAGCATTTTTACCTCCAGCTTGGTTCTTTCATGGTCAGAAAAAACACTTCATATGATTTCAATTTCTCAGAATTTGTTGAGTTAAATCATATGCCTACCATATGGTTTATCCAGAAGAATGTTACATGTACTGATGAGAAGAATATGTATTCTACAGGTGTTAGATGAAATGTTGTGTAGATGTCTGTTAGATACTTGGTCTAGGGTACAATTAACTCTGCTGTTTCTTTGCTGATTTCCTGTCCAGAAGATCTGTATATTGCTGCAAGTGGGATAGTGAAGTTTCCAATTATTACTGTTTTGGAGTATATCTCTCCTTTTAGGTCTATTTTGATTTGCTTTGTTATGTGGGTACTCTGATATTGGTGTATGTATATTAATTTCAATTCTAATAATTTAGAATTATTATTTCTTGTGTTGAATTGACTCCTTTATCATGACATAGTGACCTTTCTTGACTAACTTAACTTCTCTTATTTTAAAGTCTATTGTATCTGATATAAATATGGCTATTCCTTCTTTTTTTGGATTCTATTTGATTAGAATATTTTATTCTATCCCTTTAGTTTCAGTCTAATTGTGTCCTCAGGGGTGAACTGAGTTCCTTATAAGCAGTATCAGTTGGGTCTTGATTTTCGTTCTTTCAGTCATGTTATGGTATGTAATTTATGTATGTATGTATTTTTGGTACCAGGGATTAAACCCAGGGGTGCTTAACCACTGAGTGACATCCCCAGCCCGTTTTATTTTTTCATTTTGAGACAGGCTCTCACTAAGTTGCTGAGGCTGGCTTTAAACTTGAAATCCTTCTGCCTCGGCTCCCTGAGCCACTGTGATTATAGGGGTTCACCACTGTGCCTGGCCTACGTTTTTATATTGGATAATTAAATGCATTTAAGTTTAAGGTAATTATATTTCTAGTTTTATTGCAGTTTCTTTCTCTCTTTTTTTTTTCCTTCCTCTTTTACAGTCTTCCTTTGTGGTTAAGTGATTTACTCTAGCAGTGTGCTTTGATTTCTTGCTTATTAWTTTTGGTTTGTCTGTAATAATTTTTGTTTTGTGGTTACCATGGGGCTTATAAAACCTTCTTTGATTATAATGAGCTGTTTTAAAATGATAGCAACTTAACATGATCATAAAGTGAGGAAATACAACAAGAAATGAAATAGAAAATATACTAAAACAAACTCTGCACTTGCATGCTATTCCTCTACACATTTTGAATTTTTTGATGTCTAATTTTGATTTGGTATATTGCCTATCTCTTCATGTATTTTTTTAATTGTTTTGTTTTTAGGATTAATTATTAATATAAAAAGAATTTTCCCACCATGTTTACGATATGAGAGCATTTTGAAWTTGTCTTTGTATTTACTCTTGTAGTGAATTTGTTCCTTCTCATATTTTCTTGTTCATTTCTGTCTCTTAATTTTAGTTCTTTCAGTTAGAAGAACCCCCTTTAGCATGACTGAGATATAACATCTCAGCTTTTGCTTAGGAATGGCTTTATTTTTCCTTCATTTCTAAAAACAAAAAAATAGTTTTGCTGGGCATAGTATTCTTGGTAAGCAGGTTTTTTGTTTGTTTGTTTGTTTTTTTATGAGTACTGTGAAAATTTCTTGCCACTCTCGGTATATAAGATTCTGTTCAGAACTCTGCTATTGGATAACCTGGGACACACTTATGTGTTATTTATTTCTTCATTTGCTGCCTTGAGAATCTTTTCTTCATATTTCACCTTTAATAACCTGACTATAACACGTCTTAGCCCAGAACTGGTTGTGCTAAATTAGAATAGTGACATTTGACCTTCCTTTACCAGGATACTTGTATCCTTCTCTAGACCTGAGGATGGTTTTTATTATTATGTCTTAGAATAAACTTTTTGTAAATTTAATTTTATTTTTTTACACAAATGGAGCACAACTTTTCATTTCTCTGGTTGTACATGATGTAGAATCACACCATTTGTGCAATCAYACCCATACATAGGGTAATAATGCCCCAAATTGGGAGTTAAGCAGTAAAGATAGTTCCTTCACTGTCACAGTTCATGCTAACCGAGGTTCCACTTGCATCTCATAGCCACAGGAACCTGTGCAGTCAGGTGAGCTAGAGGAGGCCAATGTCCCAGGCCCATTTCAAGGCTGGAACTGATCCAGCCCATTCTACTGTCATGTAGGTCTCCTCCTAATGCCAGAACAGGTCTAGATGCTCTGTCTTTGACTTATGGCATGGCCATGGGGCCTTTGGATTCTACCCCTAGGTTTCATTGCAGTGGTATCAGACAAGAAAAAATCCTGGTTTGATTGTTACACACTGTATACATGCATTGAAATAACATACCATAGCATATAAATACATACCATCATTATTTGTGAATTAATTTTTTTAAAATTATGTTTAAATCCTCCCAGAACACCTGTTCCCTGCCAGGTAGACTTATAGAACTCATTCAATGAGGATTTTAAGATGCCGTCTGGAATAGAAGTTCAATAGATGGGTACCACATGTCTCCTCCTGACACTGGGGTTCCTTTAGAGGCTGTGGTGGTTTTGATGCCCTGTTTCTTAGTAGTAGTTTTCATGTCCTGCTTTAAATCCTGTGGTGGTTTTCATTTCCTGATTCCTGGTAGCTTGAGTCTTGATCCTCTTTCTATTGCCCAAGGTAGGGCAAGGGATGGTGGAAACAGTCAGCCACCTGGCTAATGCAGTTCCATCACCTATGACCATTGTTACTGGCCTGGGCATAGGGATCATGGGGCTTTGCTTGGCACTGGGTTTCGCTGTAATGGATCTGGTACTGGCTTTCAAATCCAAGGATTGGACTTAATACTTTCCCCTTTTCCTAAGCATGTAGTGTCTCTTTTCACACTTTTTGAAGTTATGGGAAGGGTGACACTGGCACCTATTCCCTTCCTACCTACTGCCATGTATCTTTTCTTATTTTCCTAAAACCAGGCACTATGAACTCTCATTGGTGCTTCTTGTCTCTTGTAAAGATAGTGTAGTGTGCAGATAGCTGTCCAAACTGGTGTGTCAATGAGGTGATTATTGCTTAAGCATCTGGTTCTGTCCTTGTGCATTTATATTTAGTGGTAAGACTGTTCTTAAGCAGTGCAGAGTTGGGGCATTATAGACGTCATTATCTAGGAGTGACTGGGCCTTAAGAGAAAATTGTCAAGGTGTAAAATGAAGTGTGCAGAGGAAAGTATGGTATTAAAATGCTACCACAGCCACACTGTAAAGTGGAGCTATGCTTATTTATTATTTAAAAGTTAGTAAAAATACAAGTTTATAATTACTGTTAGTATAAATGTTCACTCGATGAATAGCTCATTTGCTATTTCTTAATCTAAAATTTTGCATTATATAAGTACACATTTACACACTTTGATTCCTTTCATTTATAATTTCAATGGTTTTGGTATTATTCTCATCTACTCTTAATAAAGAACATGCATGTGAACTTAAATCCACAAAAAAATCAAAATGTATTTTGAGTCATATTTTTAATGTATTATGTTCTTCTTGATACATAAAGGACCTACTGCATTTGACACTGAATCACTTAATACAAAGCAGAAGAGCACAGATAAAATTAAAATAATATAATCAACTATATATAAATAAACTGACCTTCTTAAAATTTTTGTTTAAGTCAACCAGACTGAGCAGGAAAATGTGGTCCTTGGCTCCCAGGAGCAGCTTGCCCCTCTCTTCATCTAAMAGAATAGTCTGGAAATCCAGCCCTTCTGATGAACCCAAAAATGGAATGCAGCTATTTGACAGCAGCAAATCTATGGGAAAGAATGAAAGAAAAAAATTTATTAGGCGAAATATTTACCTCTCTCTCTCTCTGTAAATGCATGTATATAACATGAAAGTTCCAATTAAGATACTTACAAATAATTACAGTTTTTAATATATACTCATTTAGAAATAAGTGAGATGTATGATATTTTTATTTTATCAATACCATTTTATGTGTACTCAGCACCATATTAAAATGAAGACCAAACATATAAACACAAAACAATTAAATGCAAAATAGTTTAAAACTACCCTCACTTTCTTGAATTACAATGTAAAATATCTACCTATAAGAATATTTGAAACTTGATAAAATTGATTATACAAAGCAGGGATCAAACTATGTCATAAATCTTAACATTTCTTTCCTTTTTACATTTTAAAATAGACCTGATTTATTAGAGCATTTTAAAATTAAYAGTGACATTGATTGAAAGAAACAGATTTACATTTATTTCCTGTCCCAACACATATATGGCCTCTCCATTATCAACATCTTCCACTATAGTGGCATATTTCTTAAAATCAATGAGCCTACATTAGCATTATTATCACTCAAGATACACAGTTTAGGGTTCAATCTTGATGTTGTACATCTTATAGGTTTGGATAAATGTATAATGGCATGTATCTATCATCATAGTATATCCTGAAAGTCTTGTGTGCTTCTGTGCTCTCCCTATTCATTCTTCTAGCCTGCCCCCAATCATTCATCTTTTTCATGTCTCCATAGTTTTGTCTTATCAGAATGTCATATAATTGGAATTGTACAGTATGCTGCCATTTCCTATTGGCTTCTTTTACTAAGTAATATGCATTTAAGCTTCCTCTGTGTCTTCCTGGGTCAGTATCTAATATTTTTTACTGTGGACTAATATCCCTTTGTCTGGATCAGCCAGTTTAATTATCCATTCACTTTTTGAAGGACATTTTTATTGCTTCCAAGTTTTGGCAATTATGAATAAAGCTGCTATAAACATCTGTATGTGGGACAGTTGTAAACACAAGCCTTCAACTTTTGGGGGTAAAAACCAAGAAGTCTGATTGATGGATCACATGTTTAGTTTTATGAGAAGCTGCCCACTGGCTTCTAAGATCCCAGTACCATTTTCATTTACACCAATGATTGAGTGTTCTAATTGCTCCATATCCTCATCTACATCCATGTTGTCAGTGTTCTCGATTTTGGCCATTCTAGTAAGTATATAGTGATAACTTATTGTTGTTTCAAATTTGCATTTACTTGATTACATAATGTATACAGTGACTTTTCATATGCTTTTTTCCCTTTTTTTTTTTTTACTGTCTATATCTTCTTTGGTGAAGTGTCTGGTAAGGTCTTTGACCCATTTTAAAACGTTGTTGTTTCTTATTGTGAGTTTTAATGTCTTTGCATATTTTGGATCACAGTACCTTATCATATATGTCTTTGGAAAATATTCTCTTGCAGTTTATGGCTTATTATTTTTGCTTTCTGTTTTTGATAGTATTTAGATTGATTTCTGTGATTAATGGATTATACTGTCACTATTTTAAATGTGCAGAAAGAAAATGTAAACAAGGTGATTCCAACCAAATGGAGTCTGAGACATACTCTTGATCTAGCAATGGCATCAGAAGTTTTAAGYTGAAAGTAACATTGAAAATCAATTAATACAAATTAATGATTTTCTAAGTGAAGATATATAATGTTGGTCAGTTGAAGTCATATGCTCTAAAGAAAAATAATGGTGTGCTGTCAAAGCTGATAGGTGAATTCGAGTTCCTAGTTTTCATTTCATTTATGTCTGTCYGAATACTCTAAGGAACCCAAATCTTTTCAACAGGTTTTTTTTTTTTTTTCACTTCAAATACTTAACAATAATCTCTAATTTTCTACAACTAGAATATTGAATGTTGACAAGGTAATAATATTGCTCATTACTTTATTAAATTCTATCATATGTGATGAGTTTAAAACCAAATCATTGGTTTAAATAATTCATATTGATTGATGATAAATGTAAAATAGGTAATATCTCAAAAATAGACATGAAGATACTACTTAAAAGTATGGAAATTTCAAACTCTTTTTTTTTTTTTTTTTGTAAAACAGACAGAACTTTGAATCTCTTAAATTTAGGGTATATATATTCTATCCCTCAACTACAGGATTTATTATTATTTCATATTTCGGAGGATTTTCTCTTCTATTTTATGTACAACTATTATTCCTTTTAGTTTCTAAGCTAGATTCATCTTAGTTTTGACAAACCAAAAGGCAGTGGGCTGGAGAAAGTACTGTATGAAATCTCTTGGTTCCTTCCATTCTTTTCTTCTCAGTTCTACTTACAACCATATGGAGTATTTGTTGGATATTAGCCTTTCACAAATAGGATAATTGCATTTGGAGCTCCTAAAATATATTATAGCATTATGTCTTTGGTCTGAAATGATTAAAGTTGTATTTAGTTTAAGAAAATTAATTATCATAGAGCTCTGGTTTCCTTCCAGTATATACAAAACGTTCCATAAACGTTAAAAGATATTATGAAAATAAAACACAGCATATGAGAAATAAATTCTAATAGCAGTACAAATGCTCCTCATGAATCTTCCTTTCATCAAACAGCATATCCATGCTGTACACACTACCCATCTGGYCTTGTCAGGCTTCAGTGCTTCAGGGTTACCCAAAGCAGATGMTCCTGATGTACCACCAGAATTCAGTACAGCCTAATGCTGCAAAGATATGTCTATGTCATTCACTTCATGGTATTTCATCACATGGGCAGGGCCATCCACTCACACTGTAACCAATGGAAAGGGGAGTATAGTACAAAGATATTTGGAGAGATCAGAGTCACATAACTTTTATTACAATGCATTGTTATAATTGTTCTATTATTACTTGTTGTTAATCTCTTAATGTTTCTGTTTTATAAATTAAAGTTTATCATAGGTGTACATCTCTAGAATGAAACACCAAGTATAGAGAATTAAATATTTTACTCAATTTCAGGGACTTGGGGTTCTTGGCAAGTATTTCATATGGATAAGGGAGTTGATTGCATATCTCCTCCTCTTGAGTGTTTATACAAGGCAAAGACCATGTCTTGTTATCTTTGAATTCCCAGCACCTCACTCAGAATCTCAGACAAATTAAGCACTTAATGAATAGTTGTGGAACTGAAGAAATTCAGTGTGCATTCAGAAACATGGAGAATATGTGGGGGAGGTGAGAAGTGAGACTAGACATAAAGGCAACATGCAGATAACCAGGGCCTAAGACATCAAACTGGGGAGTTTGTTTTTTGTGTAAGTGACTGGGAGCCACTATATCTTATTATGTAAGCAAGTAACAAAGACTATAATTGATTATTGGAAAGATAAGTCTGGCTGCAGTGTTTGTGATGGATAAGGATGGGGAATGGCAGTGTCAGGAAGACTACCCAGAAATTTCAAAAACATAGTGGGTCCCTGAATTACAGCAATGTCAATGAGAAGAGGGATGTGTACCTCACTTTTCCCCCCTCTACATATACATGAGGAAAACAAATACGCAGTTGACATAGACATTTGATTAATTTTTTTTCCACCATAACCAATTCTATTTCACATAGTTTCTAACAAACTTGACAAAGAAAAACAGCTGCAAAAATATTGACTAACCTGGACTGTTATCATTTCCAAATGATTTAATGCTGCCTTGTGACAGTGCTAGCATCAAAACCATTACAACATGCTGCRCCAATTCTTTGTAGCCAAATTAAATAATTAGACTTAGGCATTACATATAAAAATTTCTCAGGCTGACGTACACATTATGAAAAGACCTTGGGACAGGGATTGGAACAAGTTCTCTCTTCCCCATGAAGCTTATCTCTTTTGCACTTCTGCCAAGCCAAGCAAAGTCATTTTGTTTCCACAGGATCATCAACCAAAACCCAGTAAAAAATTTGCTAACTCTAGAGACTATATTGTAACACCTAAAGTGTTTTAAGATTCCAGGAATCAGAAACGGAGGCTGGCTCTGCTGGATGTAAATGTCAGAGCTTTATTTTTTTTCTCCCAAATTAAAAATTCTTAGGCATGTGATTTTGAAGATTGCTCATAGTTTTCAAGACTTTTGGACAAGGACTCTTTTCTCTCCCCTTGGGTAGAGGATAAGTACACTGCTTAGCAGGTGTTATTTTCAGAAAAGAGACCTATTAGGYGGTTGGTTAACCATTCCCACCCTTTTGAGATGTGAGGAGCACTTACCTCTGTGTGTTCTGGTCTCCTAAGGTCCTGAGTTATTTCTCTGTTAAATCTACCCAAATTTGTTTTAATTCACCATAGCCCTTCCTTCTAACTACTCTTTCCAGCAGTGCATTCTCCTATCACCTCAGTTCCTGTTTGTAATCTCCGTCCATCACTCAAGTACTCAAATTCCCATGTTTGCTCTAGCAATACACTATTGGAAAATCTACAATCTGATCACTTCCAAAATAAAAAGACCAAAGATACAATTATTCACATGGCTTTTTGTTTGTTTGTTTAAACTTGGAAATCACTGTTTAAGATCAATTTTGGTGGAAGAATGACAGAAGATGTCCATGATTCATTATCAATAACCCATTAAAGAACACAGGGATAATTCTGAGGATCAAAATGCCTTTAAACACCATGACATTTTCATGATTGTATATGTGCATTTTTTTTCTAAAGAGAATGTCCATAACATCAACATCTCTTGATATCTTATCAAAAATGACCAGAAMATTTCTGTTTTTCAAGTACAGTCAGTAACATTTTAAAGAATTTCTCATTTCTAACACAAGAAAGTGAGTCACTACTGTCACAAAATTTGACTTTTGAGACACTAACTAATTCCCCTAAGAACACCAAGTACTCTGAGGGAAAGACCCTAATAAGTTTGACAGATTTCTGCCTTCATGGAACTTAGAGCTCAGTGGAGATGAAATGTTCATCCCCACCAAAAAAGAAAATATTCTTATGACAAAGA